AAACACGGCCAGAAGAAACTCGCAGGAGCCGCCCAAGCACCCTGCGGGGAAAGGCCGCATCGACGACTGCTTCACCGAGGGGCGGAATCCCGCTCACCAGCCTGGCGGCAAGAAGACCGAATTCGCGTTCGTGGAACCCAAACTGGCCGTGCCGTCGGCCGCCCACGTCCGCCCCGCCCCTCCGTGTTGGCTGGAGCATGGGAGGCCATGTGGAGGACTGCGAAGATGTCTTCGAGAAACTGAAGGCTCTGAGTGACCCTAAAGCATCGGCATGTTGCGGCTTATCCCGCTCTGCCGGCGGGACGGCTCCACGGGCGTACCCACGCGGATTTCTCCAGCACGGAGGAGAAAGAGCATTCGTGGCATGCCCATACTCGTCTGGCCGCGCTCGGACTCGCTCATAACTTGCAGGGTGGGCATGACGAGCTACGTCACCGCCGCCATGCACACGCCTCTGTCGTATCGGCATGGCTTCGTCAGAAAGGCAAGCGCGTGCATCAGTCCAGAGCTGGCAGATCCATAGCGACAAGGCGCAAGGCGGTGGCTCCCATCCCGAGCCTCCTAATCTGCACGCAGTGGAGCATCAAGACTGTTCGGGCGCATGGCAGGGGCAGCTCTGTCTCGCGACCTCGTCGCACATCAGACGCCACAACCAGGAGGCACGGGGGCATGAGCTAGCCGCAGCTTGCAGTGCCAGTAGTGTACAGTTTTGCCGGCCTCGTTCAAGACAGCGCCTGCTCTGCTGGCATGCTGGCAGACCTGAGATCTCAGCCCTCGCCACCGTCCTGGTTTCTCCTCGCCCTTGGTAGTTCGTAAGGGCCTGGTGAAGAGATAACAGTGATATCCTCTCGTGCTCCACCCTGTACATGCACCCTGTGCCCGCAGCACGAGCGAGCCTTCTTGTCACTCTGAGGTGCCAACAGCTCTGGTGGGCACGACTCGAAATGCAGGAGGAGCCTACGAATGTGGTAATCGGCGCCCTGCGCGACTATTCCATGAAGGTGCTCATCATCACCATCAGCATGATCGCTGCAACAAGCACCTTCATCATCGTTATGATCGTCAACGTCATCATAACCACCCCCATCATTATTGGCATCAGTATCACCACCGTCGTCACCTTTACCACCATCACCACACACGAATCACCACCACCACAAGCAACATCGTCGGCATCGTCAACACCACCATTACCAACCTAATCATCCGTATCGTCGTCATCGGCACCGCAATAACAATCGCTTATCATCGTTATCAGCATCGTCATCATCAGCAGCATCATCCGCATCATCGTCATCCGAATCCTCATTATCGTCAACAGCATCATCAACATCATCACCATCATCAGCAGCATCAGCACCATCATCAGCATCAGCATCATCATCATCATCAATATCCTCATCATGATCCTCATCCTCACGGTACTCATCCTACTCCTCATCCTCATCAGCGGCATCACCATGTCCTCCATCGTCATCAGTACCATCATAAGTATCATCATCATCAGCATCATCAGCGTCATCATCATCATCATCAGTGTCAGACTCATCATGCCCACCTTCAACATCACCACCACAATCATAATCTCCTACTCCCAGGCCCGTAGATATCAGCACGAGTTGCTAGTATGTCGCCTTGGTCTGTGCGCGGCACGCGGCGCGTTGCAGCACACCCGTTGCGCTCGGAGTCGGACATGCCGCAAGGTGCTGCAAGCCTCGCGCATACTTCCCCGCCAGAGCCCGCGCTACCGGTAGCAGTACGTGGCCCAAATTGACGATCGAGCAACATCCTGCATTTCTGATATCCCGAAGCCGTCGATTATCAAATCAACTGTGCCTGGCTTCGATTGTTGCGGCTGGGCGACGGCTCATCCGTACTGTCCCGTCCCGTCCCTTTACGAGGAGTGCGATGGGTCTCTTTTGCTTGCGACCAGCTGAACACGGGCGGCCTCTACTGCCCGTTCTGCGCCTCGCTGGACGGTACCGCAGTCATCCAAGACACGACCGTCCACTTCCGCGTGAGGCCAAGTGGGGCGGGGCGGGCAGCACTGTCATACCCTGGCCGCTGGGGGTGTGGCAAGACGCAGTGCTTGACCGCAGTCACCTGTCGCGGTCCTCCTGCCCAGTGAAGCAAAAGCTGCAAAAGCATGTGCTCGCCGAGGGCACATCTCGAGCTCAGCATCGATATCATCATTATCAGAATCTCATCATCATCATCAGTATCCGACGTTTCACCTGATCATCATCGTTATCATCATCATCAGCAGTATCACCATCATCATCATCAATATCAGCATCAGCATTAGCATCAGCATCATCATCATCAGCAGCAGCATCGTCATCGTCATCATCATCATCAGCATCATAATCAACATCATCATCATCATCATCATCATCAGCATCATCATCATCATCATCATCATCATCATCATCATCATCATCATCATCATCATCATTATCGCCATCACCATCACCGTCAACATCATCATCAGCATCATCAGCATTCTCATCATAATCACCATCAACATTAACATTAGCAACATCACCATGTCAATCATCTTGTCAAGCATCGCCATTATCGTCGTCATTGACATGGTAATCGTCATTACCAACATCATCACGATTATAATCATCATAAGAATCACCAGCAACATCATCATTGCCACCATCAGCGTCGGCATCACCATAATTATCATCATCACCATCATCATCATCATCATCCTCATCAGCATCATCATCACTGCCAGCATCGTCAACGTCAGCATTATCGTCGCCATCACCACCGTCGTCATCATCACCACCAGCAGCACCATCAGTAACAGCATCATTAGCATCATCATCTGCATCATCAGCATCATCAGCATCATAATAATCATCAGCATCTGCATCAGTATACTCATACTCATCATACTCATCTTACTCATCATACTCATCATCAGCATCGGCATCATCGTAATCAGCATATTCCTCTGCATCCTCAGCATCATCACCATCCTCACACTCACCATTATCCACATCCTGATCCTCATCCTCATCATCCCCTGTAGCGAGCCTTCTTCAATTTCATCATCACCATCCTCCCGCTCATGCACTTTCTTCTCCTTCCACTCCTCCTCCTCATCCTCCGTCTCTTCCTCCTCTTGCTCCTCCTGCGATCCCTCCTGGTCGTGATCCTCCTCCTCCTTATGCTCCTCCTCCTGCGCATCCTCCTTCTGGTCGTCGTCACCCTTCTCCTCCTGCTCTTCCTGCTCCTCCTCCTCCTCTTCCTGAGCCTCCTCATGCTCGTCCTCATTTCCTTCTTCCCCGTTCACCCGTCTACACTTCACGACACTCATACTCCTCATTCTCCACCTCCTGCTGCCGCTACTCCATCCTCCAGCTCCAACTCCTCCTCCTCCTCCTCCGCCGACTTGTTCTCACACGCCTCCTGTTTCTCAGATTCCCCCTCCTCCTCATCATGATCAGTCTCCTCCTCCTCCTCCGCGTCTTCTCCCTCTCCTCGTTAGTCTCCGCCTCCTCCCCTCCCCTCTCATCCTCTCCTTCATTCCCCTCTCCTGCTCCCGCCCTCTCGCGAGAGGAGAAGAAGATACCAACATCGCTACTACCTCCCGGGACCTCTCCTGGGGTGCGTTCTGACCAAGATTCCGAGGAGAGTCCAGCCGTGGCGACTAGGGTCCCCAGGAGGTATCAAGAGGCCAGAACGAAGAAAGGGCATCGCTATCGGCATCTGTCCCCGTATCCCCAGAATTGGGCCAATGATAGCTGTTGGACGCCTCCGCCTCACCCTAACTCCCGCTTTCCCAATCCCAGGCTAAAATTCACCCTTACTAGATTACTCGTACTCGGACTGACTCATACACATACCAACTGATACTCAGACTCGCCCACACTCGGACTCACTCACAAGCAGACTCGCGAATAGTCAAACTCAGTCACACTCAGATTCACTCATACTCAGACCACCCATCCATACTCAGACGCTCTTACACCCAGACAAGCCCAGCATTAGACTCACTGATAGTCGGACTCACTCACACTCAGACGCATACCCGTGCGCTGATGCTCAGACTCACTCACGTTCAGATTCAGTGACGGCCTGCCGAGATAGACTGATAGCCAGTCATGGCTGATAGCCAGTCACTAATCTTCAAACCCACTCGCGCTCAGATCACTCAGATCACCCGGAGCAGGCATCGCACTTGAGCCTTCCAAGAAAACACCCGTGCTGTGGGACAGGCGTGTGTGGTTTCAGAACCCTGTGATCACCGCGACGTAGCAGGCATCCGAGCCAGGCCCATTCGAGTCCAGATTGGAGGGACCTCCCAAACAGAACGCACGTTTGGGGGCAGGGGAGAAGGGGAGGGGGTGGGGTGGCACGCGTGTCTGACTTCAGGGCCCCGTGATCATCGCGATGTAGGCATCGCAGTTAGGCTCCCGAGGGAGGGGTCGACTATAGGTGTTCCACGGGCACGTTCGCGCCCAGACTGGTGATGCCGCCTCTCGAACAGAACGCTCGTCTTGCAGGACACGCGTCTGTTCTCATAGCCAAGTGATCCTCCACGGGCCTTCACACGGGGGTGCGACCAGGGGTGGTTCGCGGGCCCGTTCGCGCTCAAATTGGCGGGGACATCTCGAGTAGAATGCCTGGCCAGGGGGACGCGCGTCTCTATTATCAGAGCCCCGCGATCACCGCGGTGTAGAAGGCATCGCACCAGGGCTTCCCCAAGGGGGTCCACCAGGAGTGTTGCACGGGCCCGTTCGCGCCCAGAGTAGTGGGACCTCTGGAATTGAACGCTTGTTTTCGGAGACTCGCGTGTCCGAAAACAAGCGATAGATTACCGCGATGCGGCCAGGATAGAAGGCCAACCCCGTTCGTCCGCTCCTTTTTACCGACTCTCTGATCGACTTCTACTTCTCGCGTTGCTCCCTGCTGGCCAACCCCCGCTGGCCAACCCTCTTCCACTCTCTTATGGACTTCCACGCCTCATGTTGCTCCTCCTATGTCCAACTGTTCCCATGTCGGGCCCATTGGTCGGATCTGTTCGAACCCGCTACATAGCGCGAGAACGGCCGAACCAACTGCAAAAACTGTGCTGGGCTGGACTGGCAAACGGCACGTCTCGATGGCGCTTCGGCAAGCAGAGACTGCAGCAACTTGATGAACGCGGCGGCGCCAACGGCTTGCCAGGTCAGGACCTTGTCATTGCCCAAGTGTGGCCCGCCGAGGATGCCTACGTGAAGAAACATGTGCCGGCGGTAGGCAGGAGGACGAAGAGCAGCGCGAGGCAGCGACGATGGCTTCCACGGGAATGGCAGCAGAGAGTCTGTTCACTCATACTCATACCTGTACGACCACCCTTCGGGTGATAAGGAGGTTCGTGGGAGGAGAGGAACCAGCGTCTCATTCGATCGGTCTCACTATCGATCTCACTGTCGATCTCACTATCGGTCTCGATCGATCGATCTAACTCGATAGATCTCACAATCGATCTCACTCAATAGATTTCATTCGATCGATCTCACAATCGATCTGACTATCGATCTCACAATCGATCTCACTATCGATCTCACTATCGATCTCACCGTCGATCTCACATTCGGTCTCACTATCGATCTCACTATCGATCTCATAATCAATCTCACAATCAACGTCATCATCATCAAGATCATCGTCAGCAACGTCATCAACATAATCATCACTATTTCATCATCACCGGGCCACCATCATCATCACCTCATCACCATGATCATCAAGATCATCATCAGCATCAACATCATCATCATCATCATCATCATCATCAGGTCACCATCATCGTCACCATCATCATCATAATCATCAACATCATCATCATCGGGACACCATCATCATCATCGGAACACCATCAACATCATCATCATCATCACCATCACCATCATCGTCATCAACATCATCATCATCGGGACACCATCATCATCGGAGCACCATCATTATCATCATCATCATCATCCCATCATCATCATGAGCAACATCATCAACATCATCATCATCGGGACACCATCATCATCAGCAACATCATCATGAACATCATCATCATCGGGGCACCTTCATCATCGTCACCATCATCATCACCATCATTATCATCATCATCATCATCATCATCATCATCATCATCATCATCATCATCGGGACACCGTCATCGTCATGATCAACATCAGCATCACCATCCTCATCATCGATCCACCATCATCAAAATCATCAGCATCACCTCATGAACATCCTCATCATCATCATCATCATCATCATCATCATCATCGGGACACCACCATCGTCATCATCAGCATCAGCATCATCACCTTCGGGACACCATCATCATCATCACCATCATAATCATTAACAGCATCATCATCAACCTCATCCTCATCCTCATCCTCATCCTCATCCTCCTCATCATCATCATCATCATCATCATCATCATCATCATCGGGACACCATCATCATCATCAACATCAGCATCACCATCATCCTCGGGCTACCATCATCAAAATCATCATCATCACCGCATCCTCATCCTCATCATCAACATCATTATCATCGGGGCACCATCATCCTCATCATCAACATCATTATCATCGGGACACCATCATCATCATTACCATCATCATCATCATCATCACCATCATTAACAGCATCATCATCAAACTCATCATCACCATCATCATCATCATCGGGACACCATCATCAGCATCAACATCAGCATCATGATCATCTCATCACCTCATCACCTCATCATCATCAACATCATCATCACCATCATCATCGGGACACCATCATTACCATCATCAGCAACTTCATCAACAAGATCATCATCATCGAGACACCATCATCATCACCATCATCATCATCAACATCATGATCATCATCATCATCATCATCATCGTCAACATCCCCATCATCATCGGGACACCATCATCATCACCACCATCACCATCACCATCATCATCATCATCATCATCGACATGATCATCATCATCATCATCATCATCATCATCACCATCACCATCACCATGGACCATCACCATCACCATCATCATCATCATCATCATCATCATCAATATCATCATCATCATCTTCATCATCATCGGGACACCGACGGGACACCGGCGGGACACAGAGCACCGGCCCACGGAAAATAATCATTTGGTCGGGCCGCGCGTCAGCCGGAGGCGGGACACCGGCGGGACACCGCGGGCCACCGGCCCCTGGAAAGGAATCATTTGGTCCGGCCGCGCCTCAGCTGGAGGAGACTTTCTTCTCGCCCGCCCACGCAGCTTCGCCTCGCCCGCACGCACGGCACGCACGAACACGAAACCGAAACCAATTTCCCCGTAGGGTGGCTCTCCATTCCACTCCGATCTCACCCCCTCGCCTCCGACCTACTCACTCTCGGATTCATATCTCCAGGCCCACTAACACTCAGAAACACTCATTCTGAGCCACGACGTGCTAAGACTCACCCATGCTCGACCACACCTATACAGGCTCACTCATACTCAGACCCACTCATTAACAGGCTCACTCAAACTCAGACCCACTCGTTATCAGACCAATGCATATTCAGACTCATGCTCCAATATATTCGCTCTTCTTCAATGCTCAGTTTCACGCGCACTTGTACTGAGTCGAACTCCGACATTCCTAGCAAGACAACACGATCCCCATTACCTCAATCCTTGCACTCGGCGCCCACAGCGGTGGAAGCCTCCTCCGTCGAGCGCTGCCTGATGCGAGATGGGGCCTGGCGCGCAGCGTCTGCGCAGAGGCCGTGTACTCGGCCTGGCACGCAACCCCCCCCCTAGGCTCGCCCGCCCTTGAGCCCGCTCGCCCCGCTCACGGTGCCGCTTTCTCCGCGTCCGGCGAGTGGCCGGGCACTGGGTGGCCCACCTGAAGGTGAGACCACGAGGGGGGGAGGATGGGAAGGGACGGGACGGGGGAGAGGATGGGCGAGAGGGGGGAGAAGAAGCAAAACTAGCGATGACGCGGAAAAAAAACAGCATGTGGCAACAAAGACACTTTTTAGAGCGGAATGCGGAAAATTCACGAACGTGAAAGAGACGACTCGTGTGCTACATGGTAGTGAACGAGCAGAGAGAAGGAAATATAGACAGAGAGAGAGAGAGAGGCAGACAAAAAATTGAAAGACGGAAAGTAGAGAGAACGGGTGGAACAGAAAGAATTGGGCCGAGGTCGCCGGGAGGAAAGGGCGCTCCCCACGCTACGGCCGGGCAGCGCCCAGCGCGGCGCCGTACGCCCGCGAACAAATACACCGAGTACTCCCTGCACGTGAACATCCATACTCGGATCATCAAATATTCCCTCCCTGTCCTTGAACATGCATCTCATTCACGACGCGAATAGCAGCGGAGAGAGGTCGAGAGCATGATCAACGACACCGTCACCCAGATGGACGACGCGCAACATCAGCTGGAGGAACCACAAAAAAAGGCCACACTACTGGAACATCGACATCGACAACTTCGAAGGCTCCACGACGGCATCAGGGGGTCCGGCTCGGACGACGACGACGATGCCGAGTCAGCGACGACGCCCGGGTGGCGCACAAAGCAAGAACTCTCCGACACCCCATTACCCACCATCGGGAGACGCCACCGAGGATACATTGGAGAAACATACCCAGCGCCACCAGCGACACAAATACCTACGGAGGTCTTCGTCGTCAACAAGCTGCGACAAGAGCACGGCGCTCTCTTCCGACAGCTTCTTGGAGATCCAGGGCTCCAGGGCGGGAGCAACGAACGCGCGCCCGCGGCGACCCTCCTCTCCCATGAGCAGCCGATCGTCGTCGAGGTGACCGCCGTCGCCGCTTTCGTCGCGGCCACCGGCGCGCGCGCAGCGCTCCTCCAGCAGCTGGCATCGGCGGCCCGCGAGCTCCATCGGGGCCAGCTCTCCGAAGTTCAATTGGTCGTGGATGAACGCATACTCGAACAGGCGGCAGAAAGCTTCATGTTCGCCCACGCCCCGGTCGCTGGGGCCTAATCAGAGGAGCTGGCGCCACAAGAAATGCCGACGAACGGGAGTCAACTCCTGGCGGGAGATCTCTCGAGCCAGCCACCCTGCAGTTCGCGGGCAGGTGATCGCCAGTCCGAGAAATCCGTTGCAGTCGTCAGCGAGGCGGCCTCCTTGCACGAGCGACGACGGCGGTCCGACGTCTCGTACTTCACGGGAAATGCGCGCAATTCGATCGCATGGTCGCCGCCCGCGCCCTCAGGCCGAGCGCCCGCGGCACTCGCTCGCCCAAGCGGGCGCCACCACGCAACTCCGCAAAGCGCCACTCGCCCTCCACGGCGCCTCCGTCGTCACCCAGCGCCAGCGCGACAGGAGGGCCAGGAGGCGGTGGGAGAGCGGCAAGGTCGTCGGCTCCAGGGACGGGGCGCTCAGGAACCGCCAGACCCTCACCCTCCTGCTGCAAGCGAAGGCTCTCCTCCCGATGCAGCGGGCCCTGACCCGACTGGCGAAACAAGTAGGTCAGCCCGCGGTTCCGGCCTATCGGGAGGCCGCCCATCGGGCCGAATGTCACGAGGCTCTCGACGCCCTCCTGAATGTCCTCCAGATACACGTCACGGTCGGGGGTCGCGACAACCCAGGAGATGCCTTGCGCGTGCGCGCAAAGCAAGTACTCATGCCACAAAAACTCGCGCGGGCCCACGTCGTAGGAGACGAGCACTCGCTGGCCCTGACGAAAGAGGGCGGACATCTCCGCTGTCGAGCGAAAGGCTCGGCTCCAGCACCGACGCCTCGGCGCGTCGCAGCCGCCACCAGCCCGCGCGCGCACGCCGCGCAGCCCTACCAGAAGGTCAGCACCGCGGTCAGCACCACCACAAGCCCGGGGTAGCCTGAGCACTCCGGCGCAGGGCAGGGCGCCGGCACGGTCAGGTTCGCGCGCCCGCAGCGCTGCAACTGGCCCTCCAGGAGGCGAAGCAGCTCGCGGTCCACCGAGAAGCCCTCCCCGAGATCCACCTGGCAGGTGCCGCGCTGGCCGTGCCAAGAATCCCCGAGATGAGCATGCCCGCTAGCCGCGCCCGCGGCAGCCCGCGCCCACTCCATGAGGGGGCGGCCCCACCGGCTCGAGCGGCTGGGTTTGATCCCCATAATTACGGATCCACAAAATCCCAGGCCAACCCGACACGCGATCTCCAAGCACGCACCCCGAACGTGGCGCACCTGGCGCGGCTGGAGTATGCAGCGCACCTGGCGCGCGCGGAGGCACGCGGCGCATCTGGCGCACAAAGCGTGCCTGGCACGCGCGGGCCCCAGGGGTGCCTGGCGCGCCTGGCACGCGTAGCGCACCTCGCCCCAGCGTCGAGCACATGGGTTCGGTTTTGGTTCCCAGTAGATGTCCATCCAAAGACGAGGCTCGGGTGTTACTTATGTGTGGGGAGAGCGGGTGGGAGTGAACTAGACGGCTTGCTATCTGGAGGGCGTCTTGACCCCTCCCCCTCCAGCCTCCCCTGGACCGGGGGGGGGTTCGGAAGGTGCCAAAATTGCTCTAGGAGGGCCTCGGGGAGACCAAGATGACTTCCAAGATGGTCCAAGGTAGCCAAAGATGGCTCGATGTAGCTCCCTCTAAGGGACTCCAGGACCGCTCCAAGACGGCTCCAAGTGGCCACAGAGTCTTCCCAGGAGGCCACCAAGAGACCAATCCTTCGAAACTATGTCGGTTCCGATGGCCGTCCGAGGCCTCAAGGCAGCTCCAAGAGGGCCCATGGGGGCCCCCAAAGAGGCCCAACAGAGCCCCAAGACGGTCCCAAGAGCGCCCAAGAGCGCACCAAAAACGCTCCAAGAGGGGCGGAAGAGGCCAGTTTTGGGGCTCCCGAGGGGGAGTCGTAATTAGAGCTCCCATATTGTTTGATCGATATCCTCCAAGATGGCGCCAAGAGCGCTCGCATGGCTCCCAACAGCGCCTCAAGAGGGGCCCCAGAGGCGCCCAGGAGGCCCCAAGAGGCACCCAAGTGGCCTCCAAGAGACTCCCGAGAGACTCACAAGGGGCCCCAAGAGGCTCCCCGAGGCACCCTAGAGCGATCCAAGAGGGACCCTTCTTCTGTGTGCTGCCCACTTCCCTGATCGAGGCAACTCCTCTGGGCATCGTCTCTGGATGTGCTGGTGGGGTTGCTTTTTAGTCAGCGGCCGCAGGCGAGAGCGCCGGCGGCGAGTCCAGTCAGAGCGGGCCGCGCAAAGGCGAATTAAGCTAAAGCGGCGGGCCGAAGCCTCGCGCGGCACCTCGGCGGCCAGGCCGGCGAGTGGAAACTGGTTGGGTTACGCTTATATCTACATATATATATATATACATATATATATATATATATATATAAACAAAGGCCGCAGGCGGAAGCGCCAGCGGCGGGAGGTCGCGGGCGGGCTACGACCGCGACTAAATTGCCGAGCGCGCGCAGGGGCCGCGGATCAGGCGGCGGTGGGGGGCAGTGCCGAGGGCGGCAGAGCCAGCGCGCAGTCCAGGGAGTCTGCAGAACAGGCCCTGCACGAGACATGCAACGGTGCATCCAGGGAGCCAGAAGACAGGCACCGAGGAGACCAAGCGCAGCCAAAATGGCGCGTGAGGCGTTCCCAGCAGTTCAGATGCGAACAGAAAGAAACGTTCCCGAGGACAGCAATCCAGTGAGTCTGACGGGTAACACAGACTGACTGGAACATAAGTCCAGCGTAAGGCCTGACGGCGAATCAGAGTCGCAACGCCAGATAGCGCATCCAAGGTGTGGAAACATGATGACGGGAGAACCTTCCACAGCTGAGATGCGTCAGCCCAGATCCATCGAGTGGAAGGGCGCCGAGTGCACGATGCACGGAGGACAACGTGGCGCGTGCACATCCAAAGTGTCTCAGCGCTACCCAAACCGAGTCGGATAGCACCCGGGGGACGTGACCGTCGCATACCCAAGACGCACCCCTCAGAGCCACTTCGATCCAGGGTCACGGCGGAAGGCCGTTCAGCATTTAAGAGATCCAGGGAGTGAACCTGTGGACAGGCAAGCCAGCGTCCACAGACACGGGCCAGGACACGCCTGGCGGTGAAAGACCTACAGTAGGGCCGGAGGCCGCAAGTCCAACAGCGGGCGAGCTGTGGACGGTATTACCGAAGCGCGCACCTGAATCCGAAAGGTAGGAGGTGCGCACGCCGGAAAGAAGGCGGCAGAGCGCCGCAATTGAAGGGGCCCGCGGCGCGGCCCAAGGCAGCGACAGGGGGAGGTCAGAATGTGAAACGCAGCCAGAGGAACAAGGGAGCCTTGCGGCAAGAGTGCAGGGGCCACCGGTAGGGTAAGGCAGCGGGGCCAGTGGCATGTGGGTCTGCAGGATGCGCGCTGTCACGCAGGGTGCAGATGGCATTACTGAGCGGCACTTCAAGGTGGAAAGGAGGAGTGCCGTCCAGGGGAGGGGGCGGTGGTGCAGCCCCACGGTTGGTGAAAGAAGGCGGCGGAGGGCCGCAAACAGTGCATAGAGAGGTGTAGGTGGGGGCGCGAGGCGCTGGGGGCGGGGAGAGAGCGAGGAGTGGGCTCAGTCTCTCCAACGGAGCCTCTTTTCATCCCTATCGTCCCGATCGTCGGGGCAGTCACCGCCGCGTCTGCCACCCGTCTGCCATCGATCTTCACGCCATCCGTCACTCCACTCGCACTGCCAGCTGCCCCAGGTGTCCCAGGAGCTTGACGCGCGGTCACGCCAGCCGGTCTGGTGGTAGCTGCCTTTGCCCCTGTCGTCTGTGCGGGAGTGCCGCAGGTAGTTGGCTCGTAGCCTGTCCCAGTCAATGCCATAGCCAAACCTCGTGTTCATCTCGTAGGCGTCATACCCACAGTCCTTCCAGGCATCAAGAAAGTTGTTGATGTCCGTGGCCGCGTGTAGTCTCGGGTCGGATT